TAAACAGTCCCTAAACAGTCGTCTAATCTATCCAAAATCATTATCAATAGATCGTTTTAACAACCAAAAACAGTCTCAGAACAGCATAAATTTCTATGCATTTTTTCCTCGATTTTGAAACGATTTTCGTAAATGAAATTCCTGTAATAAAGCAAACCAAGAACTAGGGTATTTTTTATTCGAAATCCTGTACTAATTTCTTGTTTTTTTCTTATGTAAACGAAACCCTTCGACGACGGTCGCCGGTGGACGGCCTTCTTTTGTGGGAGTTACCCTCACGAGAACGTTTAGGCAAAGGCCTGGGCTGGGTAAATATTTAAACTGGTTTCCGATTGTTTTCGCAAAATCGTTGCAGTTGGTCAAACACGTGTTTGAGATAATTTAATTAAATTTACTTGGCTTTTTTCCGTCGCTGCCACGTGCCACTCCAGGCCCCGACTGCCTCTAGCCGCTTTTCACTCAAGTGGCAAACACTTGAGCACTTGCTCGCTTGTCCTGCCGCGACTCGAGTTCAATCTGTGCTTAAATTGTGGCAAGTGCAGCGCCACTCGGCTGAAGCATCGATGTATTGGTCGGGGCAGGGGCAGAGTTCTCAGGAACTGAAAACTTTGGTGGTCTTTGGCAGCAGACAATGCAACTGTCAGAGATCTCTGTGGATGGATCTGTGGCATCTGTCGCAGTCCGCAGAGACCTGAGACCCGAGGCAGTACGGATTCCATTCCCCCGAATCAATGACGATGATGACTCGTGAAAATCCAGCGAAAGAACTGAAACTAAATATGATTTATCTTCACGGTGTGTTCCCGGAGTCGACTCTCCTCCCCTCTCATTAGGGCGGCGACTCCCGACTAATTTGCATAAGTGTCCTGCCAGGCCCCAGGACGAGTGTGCACTCGAAACACACACCATACCATGCCCATGGAGGCACACTAATTAAAATGTTCGCGCCTCAAATTTCCCTCTCGCCGCCTTATTTATGGCCCTCTGTCCAGGTCCTGTGAATGTCTTGCATATGGAGAAATGTGTACTCGCATCCTTACATTCGGTTTCTTATTCTTGTTCTCTTCCTTTTTTGTTTACGACTGACAAATGAGACATTTACATGCTCCGTTCCGTTTGCATATTAAAATTATTCATGGTTTCTGCTGGAGGGATACAGAGTGAGAGGAAATCGGAAATGCAGGCTAGGGGCAGGGCTAATGGATATGCAAGCAGATGCTAAACCAATAAGGGGGTAAGGCATTCAAGGAGGAAGAGGAAGATCTATATGGTTTCCTTCTCTATTCTTCTATAAGAACTTTTAGATCCATCTTACACTCGAAATTGCTTGGATTATCCACATTACATTAGTTTCTTAATAGGGATTTGATCACTTGTTGGAATACCCTTGCCAGGACCTCAGTCCACCCTAACCCCCCAGGCGAGCCGAGCAGCGCCGTTTGTTTTTCAAGAGTCAATCCTCCGACTAATTGACACACACAATTGTAATTGCAATGATGACACTTTCTCTGCCCCTGGCCTACCCTCACCCTCTCCTCTCCTCTCCTCTCCTCTCACTAATCCCATAAGTCGCAGCGCACCACAGCACAGGGGGAGGGGTGGGGCCTTTGGCTAGTGGATGTCCATGTAAATCCAATTCGAAACAATTTGAATCAAATTCAAAGCCCAACGCCCGACGCTCAACAAACAAGAGGCATGGTGTAGAGGGGGAGTGGTGGTGGTGATGGAGGAGGAGGGGGTCAAAGGGGTAGAGCTGTGTGACAGCTGTCGCGGCCCGAGAAACTCCTCCGAGAATTGGGCGTGATAAAAGGGGGTTAATCGAACAAAGTCCCGCGGACCGCAGCGTAGATCAGAGAATTTTCCTCACCTTTGCGGAAAAAGAAAATTCCGCTTTCCTAAAGGGTAACGGGAGGTGATGGCCAGAGGAATTTCCTTTAGGGTATTTTGGTTAATTAGCGGAGTCTGGGGACATCTTCTGTTTGCCTTTTGGCTTTGATTTAAACATAAAATTGTGTGCCGCTCCGCTCCGCTCCGTTCCCGGAACCTGTCCTATGGGGAAATGTTTCTTAAAAATAGACCAAACAGAGAGTGGGAGAGAGACAAGGAATGAAAGAGTTTTCCCTGCACTTGCAAGAGGAAAATGTGACTTTTTCGAAAGGAGGTTACGTACGCGCCTTGTCAAAAGTTAATGAGATTACCACGCCCCTCAAATTAATTCACAGAAAACTCAAACAAACTCCATCTCTTTCTCCCTCTCCCTCTGTGTCTCTCTCTCTCTCTCTGTCACACTGTCAAACGGTCACAGGCAGAAAACCGCAAATGCGGAAAATGCAAATTGTTTTTCAACCGAACCCCGTACCGTCCCGCACCGAGCCCATCCCCGACTGTTTTCTCCTAACGAGGCGTGAAAATTCTGTGGGCGTTTTCGCCGGTAACTAATCCGACAGAAAGAGAGGGAGATACGCAAACGAAAAGGGAGGGAGGGAGGGAGAGTAGGTCCTCGAGTGTGTTTGACAACTTAACCAAAGGAACTCAAAGGATATGTACGAGTGTGTTCAATGCGAATAATGTGCGAAAGTCAGAAGGGGTTAAACCCGAAATGATGACTAATCAACTCTGAAAGGCAACAACAGAAGCGGACAAGAATGAAGAAAGACCTCATAAAGTACTGTACAGTAAGAGAGTCCTGAATGAGCAATCGTTAGAGGAGGATTAGAATAAGGAGAGAAAGAGAATCTTCTTTGTGGCAAGAAACACGTAGAAAATGGAAGCCCAGCATATGGAAAAGCATCATTCCGTCTAATTAAAACTTGAAACGAACCCCTAAGAACATGGAATCAATCTCCACCCACACGGATCCCTAGCGAATCCTGCTCGCTCTCAATTTTCACCTTTACTACATGTAAAATGTAATGTAATGTATAATATATGTAGAATCACAAACCGTTGTTCCACTTTCCCACTCGTTTCTCACATACACACGCGCACACATAGCCACGGACTGCTGTTCGACTGCTTTGCCGACAATCAAGAGAGAAGAATAATATGAGAAAAAGAGAATGATTTTCATTGGCTAAAATTTCATTGGTTCAGAGGCCAAGACGTTACTTTCATACTTTTTTCGTGCGATTTTCAATGTTTATAGTATTGTTTAATGTTTTAAATCACATATAAATATATATATATAAATAAGTATATATTATTTCCATTAGACTATATTATTTTATATATTTATAGAAACTTAACTTTGATTTGGAAAACACACAATTAAATTGAAGATTTTCTTAATTTTTTAATTTGAGTTAATTAAATTGTTCATTAAATTTAAAGAAACTAAATTGAAACACCGAATTCTTTCAACAATTTGCAGCACCACAGCACATAATAGTTTTCATAGGAGTGTATCCTCCTTCTTTGAAGGAATATATTCCAATAAAGCGCGCTTAAAGTGGAACCAGCAGCGAAGAACTATAACTAGAGGAATTCGTTTGCAAATTGCATAATATGATCGAACTACACACCCACCAACGGCCACGAATCTGGAGATTATTGGGTATGTAGCATCTTAGTGTCTGCATTCATGTGTTCGTCGTGTACTATTTCCAGATTTTCTAGTGGCTGCATCTATGGCGGTTTAGTGTGGATATATTCCTTCACGGTATGTTCTTTCGCATGACGAATGACATTGAAATGACGAGCACGATCCTTTCTGAACCGGAATCAGCAAGGATGTCGGATCTTTTGAGCCCACGCGACCCCAAGTGACGTGTGGATCTTCCCACATTCAAGCAGTGCAGTAGTGCGGGTTTGAGGTCTGTGTATAATGAACCATTTAAGCATCGTCCAGGAGAGACACTTAGATATGGAAGTGCATGGGTTGTATTCTCACATTAGCATTCCTTCAGTCAACATTACCGCCAGTACATTGAACAAACTGGAACCCAAACCAATGTACGAGAGAAGTGCGTTTATCCATCTCCAATGGTTTCAGCCTGCTGCTGCTGCTGCACACTCACGCCCCCAATAACTGGGGCGTTGCAAAGAGTGTCCCACGGCTGGAAATGTACCCACCAACCCACAACCACTTGGTGTATAGCGCTCTCCCTCTCACTCTGTATTGCATCTGTGTCTGTGTGTCTTTCTTGCCTGCTCTGCCTTGTTGTGTCTCTCTCTATCATGCTCTCCCTCGCTCTCTCTCTCTGGATCTGGTTGTCGTTGTCGGCGTCGTCGTCTCCTTCGTCGTCGGTGGATGGTTTTGTTGCTGACAGTTCGGCTCTCCACGGGACGGGACGACGATGTGGTGTCGTTTTGCACTCCCAGCGATAGGTTAGATTTTCCATTCGTTGCCTGCCGCCGCCTCTCAGGCTTGCTTATTGTTACCTACCGCCATTGCCACCCCCTCGGCCCACATGGAACTCAACTCTCATGCGGCGCAGGCTCGTTTCGTTTCCATTTTCAAAACATTGGTCGTTGGTCGTTTGGCTTTTCCCGCTGCTGCTGCTGCTGCTGCTGCTTCTGCTGCCACCGCTGCTGGTGCTGCTGGTGCTGCTGGTGCTGCGCAGAGCAACGCAGTCTCGCAAGCATCGCTGGCAGTCGCTGTGGACTGGACGAGGATTCAGTTGGGGTTTAACAGTCACTCGGGACGGTAGCGCGCGCCGCTTAAAACTTGTTGCGAGACCAATTCCTCCGAAAATCCCAAATTCTCTGCGGTGCATTGGCAGCCCACACATACATATACATACACCCACAGAAGTATATGCACACCCACACTCAGTCGGTGCTGGATTTGGATTTAGTGCGTGTTCGTTCGCGTTCGTTCTCGTTCTCGTTCTGTGCTGTGATAGAGTGGGAGAGAACTTCCATTGATTGACATCTCCAGAGACACATCTCCATCCCAGAGAGCAGATCCAATCCCCAATCGAATCCAACTGCGGATCCAGTCCCCAATCGAAAGGAGAGGAAGGAGGTTCAGTGCAGTGCAGATCCCAATTCCCAATTGAAAGCAACGAAGCAGAAGAGCCACCAAAACGGCCGCCACAATTGCCAGTGCCTCAGCAGCCGCCGCAGCTGGAGCCGTGCCCCTACCGTACGCCGATCTCCACCAGCATCCGCATCCGCATCCGCATCCACACCATTCGCACCACCACTTTGCTAGCACAGCTCCCCTGACCAGCACCGATAGCTTCAAGCTGCGTTCCGAGGAACCGGTGCCGGGCTTCAGCTCGGCCTCCCCCTGGCCCACGCTCGAGCTGGGGATGGAGTGGGGACGCAAGCTCTACCCTACCGCCGGGCCCCGGTCCGCCGGGGGCCTCATGTTCGGCCTGCCGCCCTCCGCCGCCGACATGAACCAGCCGCGGGGGCCCATGACCTCCCTCAAGGAGGAGCCGCTGGGCGGACGCTGGGCCATGCAGCCAGTCGTCGATCAGACCAAGTAAGTGAATGAAGGAAAAAAACGTGACCAGAGACCCATCCAAAAACGAAATGTGAATCGAAGTGAAACAGAAACTGTGATCGTTCAAGTGCTGGGAATGTGGCATGCCACAAAGATTGAAGATTCAAATGATTATTGCTGGAAATTGTGATACAGAATCGCCCCCAAGATTATTTTGTGGAAATTAATGCAACAACTACTCGTATTTATTCTAGACAATTTATTCCATGATTTATTCGATGGATTAGCAGAGATTATTCCATAAATTTTAAAAACAAATGGTGGAAATTCCAATTAGTTTAAAAAACGAATAGGCGTGAACTTTCACCTACAAAAGTTAATTCCTGAGATCAATATAGTAGAATCTGTGAATTTATCATTCTAATAAAATTAATGAAAGTTTCCCTTGTCTACTTTTTGATTTGTGCACAATTCTAAAATTTAATTAAAAAATGGAAGATGAAATTTCAAAATGCATTCAACCTCCAGCCGGACCCTGTCTCCCCCTATCCTATCAACTCCTTTTCTCCAATCCCCGTTCTAATCTCTCCGCTTATCGCTAACCAATAATCTCCAACGCAGAAGGGCAACAATGTTGCAGCAACAAACGTTGACAAGGAGAAGTCTCCAAAACAAAAAAAAGCGCTTGTTTACTTTTGGCCAAAAGCCGGCAACAGTGGCGGCGGCATCGTGTGTCCGAGCAATATGAGGGCCCCCTTGGGGGTGCGATTCATCCGTGCGGGAGGTGGGGTATTTTTATGGCCTCCCCCCCGCACCCGGAGCTAAGCAGATGAACCACCAAAAAGAACAGAATCACTCGAAAACTCTCACTCAAAGCTGTTTTTGGGCTTACGCACTTTTTCTGCGACGCTTGACTTCTGATGGGGGGAGCGGGAGTGGGAGTGGGGGTGGTAGCGGCAGCGGTAGCGGGAGGATGCGACTCGCTCCCGCTCCCGTTCAGCTTTGTGGGCTTTTTGTGTGTGTCTGTGAGAGCACGTCTCAAAGGGATGTTTGTAGTCCCCTTGTTGCTGTTTCCTTGGCTTTCGCTTTCGCTTTAGTCTTGGGCATTGCCTTTGCCTTCTTCTCAATGAATTGCCTTTGAAGAAGTGGCCGCCAGTGGCTCTCTCTCTCGCAAATCCGGCGGATGGGGGTTCCGCTTGGTGGCTGAAAGAGCTTTTCCTTTCGTTTGGGGCTCCTGGCCCTGTTTGTTCAGTTGCGTTTGAGATGTTTCTGGCGTGAGATGTTCGCGCCGAGAAGAAGTGCGCGAGTTGCCCAAATCGAAAGCGAGATGACAGCGGGCTTTGGCCATTCAGCGGCGGCAAATCAACAATCGCACACGCACACGCACACACACACGCACATCCAACACAATCACACGCATAATCACAATCACACTCTCAATCACAATCAAAGTCAGAGTCTGAATCAGAATCAGACGCTGCAGCGAGCCGCAGACAATCTTAACCTCCATCTTAATCAGGACCATAATCACAATCAAACGCAAAACAATCCAAAAACAATGCGCTGTGAAACGAGGTAAAGAGTGTGGAAGAAAGGAGAGAAAGAGTGCCATATAATCCATTGAATACCCACTAATTCCCAGTTCAAATACCCCCAAAAATCTCCCCTTTCAAGCAGCGAATAATTTTCAACTTTTTGATTACATTCAGCATTTATTTTGGGGCACAAATAAATCTCACAGCCTCCGATAATTGTTCAGTGTGTGTTCAATGTTGTTTTGCGGCACAGCCAATACCATTTATTGTTGCACTTATCTGTCCATCTGGCTGTGCCACAAACAATGTGGGGCTGCTCGTAAATCAAGAACATATTTTTCGGAAATTTATTTCAACAAAGATTGTGCAGAAGCCCAAGAAACAAGAAACAAGAGTGCTAGATTGCAGTTGCAGCCACGCAGTCAAGGACCCATAAAGTGTCCTTAAACGTGTCCCCAATGCAGGAGTGGGGGGCCAAATAAAGTAGCATGAGAGTGTGTGTGTGGAAAGCAGCCCGGCAATAGACAAAACGTGACCAGGACAAGTACCCAGCCCCACCCAGCAGCACCCCCCTGAATGGTCACCTGGGCATCGATTTGCGACAATTAAATGTTGGCATAATAAAATCAACAGCAAAACGGCCACAAAAATGCCATTTCTATACCCCGCCCACCTCTCTGTGGCACGCAAATTGGCGGCAAGTGCAAACAAAGCGAGCTGGCAAACTGCCGCAGAACGATTTTCCACAATTTCCCGCAGTCAACCGAGCTGAAAAGTCAACAGCAGCAGCGGCAGCGTACAAAAAAAAAAAGAAAGCCATTCAGGAAGGCAGGAGGAAGGCAGGCGCTGGAGGTACAAGTTTTTTATTTGCCAGGATGTACTCGGCATTATTCTGCTGTTCACTTTTCGAACACTCCACTCCATGCTGCCATAACAATAACCTTTCACCAGAATGTAACATGTCTGGCATTTATATGTCGTATAGGAGGCAGCCCCCCCCTCCCCACTTGCTCCCAGGCAGAGGTGTAGTAGCTCCTCTGCCCCATCCCCCATGCCCCATCCTCGCATTGAACTCCCATTGCCTCTTACCAAGTTTTTGATATTCATTTGATATCCGCCCTTCGCTTGAATCAACTGAACCGCAAATTGTGTTGTTTGTTAAGGAAATTTAGAGATATGTCGAATGAAACGAGTGAAATATGGAACAGAAGAAACATTGGGATATCATAGGATTGTGGGCCTTTAAGGGATTAAGGGGGTTACCCCTGGACTCTAAAAGAATCGGCTGCCAATTCAATTAAATTTTAACCTCTCCCCAATCATATCTATAGAGAACTATGGGATATAAATCCCATATCCATTCGACAATAAAATTGTCAATCGATTCCTTGGGGGCTCTCATTCCTCACCGATTCTCTCGAAATTCTCCATTTGAATGATTTGTCGGGCTGGGCGGGGGTGGGGGGGGTTGGGGGCTAGCCGCTATCATTAGCTGATGGCTGGCATTATCCTTTGGCAAATGTGTATATAATTGCAGGACCCCCGAGTCGGCGGACATGCGGCGCTGCTCCTTGACATTGCCTGAGCAAATAGCAGGGGGGAAAAAGTTGTACTGAAAATATATACAGAAAATCTGATAAAATCAGCATTTTCTAAATTAAATTGTTCGTTATGCATACGGGCCAAGGATCACGAAAAGGCGCTGGCACAGGGGTGGCACGACCAGGTAGGACCCTATGCCCGGGCACTGGCACTGTCCTGTAATTGTCCGCTGACAGGCGGACAAGAGAGAGAGTCAGTCTGACATTTAGCATACAGATATACATAGATGTGTGTGTGTGTGTGTGTGGGGGAGGTCCTGAACAAGGACAAGCCTTTATTCCGTCCACGTGTCCGGATAATTACCCAGTGTCTTTTTGGCCCACATAAGCAACGCAGGACTAGGAGTATATCAAATGCTGAAGTGGCCGAGAGCAGGGTCCTGGGGTGAGCAGGGTCCTGGGCCATACGTCAGGATTATTGTGTCACGTTGATGTTGCTTATGCGCTTTTAATGATAGTTGTCACTAGGACCACTAGAACTTATTATCCTTTCTGCTGGACAAAGGACTGGCTGCTGTTAATTGAGTCGCCGTTGCCCCGTCCTCGCCCCCTCTTGCACCAATTAGAGGCCTCTTTAGGCCTCCCCCGTCCATGTTTACCCAACTAATGGCATAATTACTGTCCGACTTGCAAGACTTTGACTAATTTCCTTTTTGTTGTACTGTTTTTTTGCAGCCTTGGCATTGGCCGCGCCCACTTTGAGAAGCAGCCGCCCAGCAATTTACGTAAATCGAACTTCTTTCACTTTGTGATCGCCCTGTACGATCGGGCCGGGCAGCCCATCGAGATCGAGCGCACGGCCTTCATTGGGTTCATCGAGAAGGACTCGGAATCGGATGCCACCAAAACCAACAACGGGATACAATATCGCCTGCAGTTGCTCTATGCGAATGGTGGGTGTACAGAGGGGCGGTGGGGAGGGGAATGGTCTTAATAATGATATTCTATATGGTTTTTTGTTGCTGATATTTGCAGGCGCCCGCCAGGAGCAGGACATATTCGTGAGGCTGATCGATTCCGTGACCAAGCAGGTGAGTCCATTGATTGAAGAGGGGACCTCCAAAGAGCTCTTTTGCGATGCATTCGATTGGCAAAGGCCACTCAAGTAAATGAACAACTGAGCAATGGAAATTTCAGTGCAGAGCCAAGCTATGAAAAACTAATTCCTTCCACTTGACTGCCTGGCTCTCCGGGACGAGGGCTTCCCTTGTTTGTTTTGCTGATTCGAGCATAAGTTGCATTCGAAATTGATTGTCATGGCTAATTAAGTGTGTCCTGGCGTGTCCTGGTGTGTCCTATGGTGTGCCAATAAATTGAGTCGTCCAACGAGCAATTCATTCACACTCCTGCCCCTGAAAGGGGTGTATCTGTATCGTATTTGTACTCTCCCCCCCCGCGCTAACGAGAATGGAGAATGGAGAATCGAGAATAACGAGGGAACATCTACTCGAGAGAGAGAAACCCGGGCCCTGTTAATGCGCCACTCTGTTGTGGGTGCGTGCGTGTCCTTAGCTGCAGGCACACACCGCCAATGGCCCTGAATGCTGCACCATATGTCCGCTTTTGTAGGCCTAATGTCCTGGCCTTTCTTTTCGCTGCCTTTTCCTTGCCTTTTTCAAGGGCAATTAATTTCTCGAGTGACAAATTTTTATAGACGTTTCAGTCCACTTTTTCCATTAGATGCCATTCCCCCCTTTATCAGCCCACCCCACACCCCCCTGTAGTCCATGGGTTTTCCCTTCTTCGATATCTCTATTTTCCTCTGTTTTGTGGGCGTTTCTTGCCCGTTTAGCCCGTTCGCATCAGAAACGAGCGCACCATAAATTTCTCCACAAATTATCGACAGCAGCGACATCGCCCCCTTTCGGCCCGCCCCCCTCCTCCTCCTCCTCCTCCTCCCTGGCGAGAAATCCATTTGTGCGAATGAAATTTAATCGCAAAATATTTGGCTCTGACAAACCCCCTCCCCACCCCCCCAAAAAGAAACCAAGAACTTTCCGTAGAGTTAAGCGATAAGAAATCGCTCTTGAAACGATATTGCGTACTTGTATGGGAATTCCACAGCAATTAAGCCTTATCGCCATTCAATGTTATTATTATTATATTTATAAAAATGCGTAATTAATAATAGCCTAATGGGTCTTTAAGGGGACATTATGATTTCCTGGTTCTACGAGTAGACTCCCAAATGGCATATATCCGACCGATAAATTTCGTATTTTTTGCGATTTTTACTAAAAATAAAATATTTTTAATATATGTATATCCGATGCACTTGAATTGCCCATTTCCGTTTGCTTTGTCAAGTCTTTGCCGTGTGGGACGGCAGCTACCCCTAATTCTGGATGAATCCCAATCCGCCGAATGCTCACATCGCCTGTCGGAACGAGTTTGTTGCTGGCTGGGAAATGGGCAATCATTTGATCGGATTAGGCGGGTTCCTGGGATGGGTTTTATTTTTCGTCGCGTGCCGGGAGCGGTGGCCGCCTTATCGTCTTGTCGCGTAACAGGTAAGGCGGCCGGATAAGCGGGTGTTATCAGTGTGGATCAGCAGTGTTGGGGGGGAGTGATGTTGTAACCTGAAGCTGAAACTGTAGCACTGAGAATACGATTACGAGGCGGCATTGTCTCAGCCGACGAGGCAGGACAATTGTCAACTGTCACGTGGCCAACCCTTCGGTGGATATGCGCGCTGATGGCATCTGCCCGCTGCTCCACCCCTTTCGTAGGCATGGGGTGGGGGGGGGGGGGGGGCAGGCAAATGTAGCAAATCATGGCCATAATCATAATTACATTCGATCAGATAACGGTGCAAACAGTTCGAACAGGAGGCGTCGCAATTGCAATTTGAGCTAACGATGAGAGGAACAGGGAACAGGGAACGGGGAACACGGACCATTGACTATGCGGACCGCGGACCAGGAACCACGGAATCGCTTCATTTGCGATCATATTTCATTTTCATCCGACCAGGGAGCAGGAACCAGGGGTTGGCGGGGCGTACGGGACCAGCATGAAACAAAGGCCCAGAGTGCCCAGAAATCCTTTTTACCCGTTTTTGTGTTTTTGCCAAAATTGCGCTTATCGCGATTTACACGCATTATGACGATGCGATACATGGGCCCGAAAAGCGCAGCGAAATTCTAAACCAAATCAAAGAGAGAGAGGGAGAGAGAGAGAAGCAAGAGATTAATGCACTCCGATAAGCCACTCAGTTGGCCAGAGAGAGAGAAAGCCGTAGATTTTGATGCCCTGCAAGATCCATCGTGTCTAAGTCGATGGCAGCAATGGCTACATATTATATAGAGTTCCGATTTGGGATCAATAATTATGGCTTTGGTCGACAGAATACTTACATTTTTCACACAGAGCACCCAACCGTTGCCCAACCGTTGCTCAGCCGCTCGAAGAGCGAATGCAAAGCGCAGCAGAGAGCAAAAGGGACAATACACTCATCATTCACTGCCAAACAATACTGCTGTCCTGCTCTCGCTGGCGAGCTCTGCTGTCTGCCTACTTTTCGCGTGTTAATTAAGCGATAAAATTAATTTGTGTGTCAACACTTAAAAGCAGAGAGAATCATTTTCGATTAATAACACATTTCACATTCTCTTCTCCGCTCGTTTTATTGCAAATTGTTATTGTTGTTGCCGGTGGCGCTGCCGGCGCTGGCTGGTCGCTCAATAAATTCAACAGATTGCGCGAAAAATCTCCACATTTGCATCTCCACACACACACACACACCGTTGTGGATAGGGAGAGGCAGAGGCAGAGGAGAGAGTGAGAACTCATGTGTGCGCGTGTGAGAGGAGCCATTTGCCTGCCGATTTGCCTGTCTCGCTTCGGCTCACTCTCTGTCCCTTTCCCACTCGCTCGCACTGCTGGCAATGCGATTAAAAATGCTTTCACGGCAAGTGCATTTCTGCGGTCGCCGGCGCCAAGTGGTGGAAGGGAGGGGGGCGGTCCGCCATATCGCCCTCATTATGCGAAATGTGAAATGCATGCGGAATGGAATCCTCTTTGCAATTCTTGCGGCTCCCTCAGGGGACAACCCGAGAAGCCAGAGGTGTCGTGTAATGTGTGGAATGTGCAATGGCCACCCCTTTACCACCCATTTACCTGTGTTTTTCTTATAGGGCATATTTTTGTACTGAGAATTTATTTGGGGATCTTTTCTTGTCTTTCTGTCAAATAGCTGTATTTCTTCCTTCTCCTGCATTAAACTTTCATCGGATTCTGTCAATATATGGCAGCAAAAGTAAGGTTAGGTCATGATTTATTTAATTGGAATCCTCTTTTCCAGCTGTGACGCATTCCTTTGTGCTTTCATAACATTTTCAACATTACGTACAATTCTTATCCAGGGTCTCCTCGAAAATTATGTAAATTTCTTGGGCATGAGGCAGGACCAAAAAAGGGTTCTGCCCGTGTGTACATTCACATAAAGGATGCACGGGAGGGTCCTTGCAACAGTCACCTCCTTTACTTCCGCCTGCCCTTCACTTCCCCTGTTTTTTCGGCTGCCGGCAATTTATGCGTTCCGCTGATAAATGAAGCTTTAATAAATTAAGAGCTACCCTCGATAGGTTTTTTTTTTTAATTTTATTTTTATTCCTTTTTGTGTTCTGTTTTTGTTTTTGCACACGGTCTTTTGTGCGCGATAATTTATCTTGTTTGGCGAGATTTTTATTTGGCCCGTTAAATATGCAACATGCAACATGCAGCATGCACCGTGCAGCATGCAACGCTCGGCGTCCCAGCTCAACATCGCTCCACATTCAGAGTGCGTGAATAATGCAAGGGATGTCGATTTATTTTATTCCAAAAGCGATAATAACAATTTGCAAAAAATGCAAAAAACGGTATCTTTTTCCGTGGAGTTTTGATGGAAAATCGTTTAAATTTTAAAAGCCGCTTCTGTTTTCATCCTGTTCGGCCCCCCGCCCGTCCTTTGGCTGCCTGTCCTGTCATCACTTCATCACTCGTTTTTTTCCCCCGGAATTTTGTTGTTTTTGCTGTCTTTCCGTTGGTCTGTTGGTCCTCTTTTTTTGGTCCTGGCTCCTGCTCTGCCGCCGACTTCTGGTCCTTGTCGTGTTGATAAATCGTAGTTTAAACGCTTTTACTCCAGTTTTAGTGGCTTTCGTTTAGTTTGCCGTTTTTTTTATTTAGATGAGCCATTTAGCCTCCGATTTCCACCAGGACCCCTCCTGCGAAGAAAGAGCCAACTAATTGTTTGTTTCTGCATCCCCGGCACAAGGATGATTGATGAGGATCTCTGGTTTACCCACAGTTTAGTTTCTTGTTGTTTTTTTTTGTGGAAATTCCATGTTAGAGCTTGTTCCAGGAGCTTCCCAAAACTATATATAGTTCCGATCCCATCTCAAACTCGCATTAAATCCCAAATAAACAGGTGACAAATACAACAGAAAAATGCAAACTTTATGTCCTGCCGGCAGAGGGGAAAAAAAACATTGAAAATCCATTAGACTTGGCCCCGAAAGGGGATAAAAAAAGGCCCATATACCATCCAGGTCCTGGGCCTATAATTAGTGGACGGAGTAGAGGGCTTCAACCCGTAAGTCTGGCACGATATCCCACACAGATTGGACATTGAGCCGGGCTATCGAGAGCTGTCCGGCCGCTGATCCTTTACACACAGGTTGCACCGGGGGGGCGGGGAGGGGGAAGTTATTAACCTGACAAACGGGATAATAAGGGATGATCATAACTTGTACATGCGCGCCCAGCAGGGGGGCAGGACGAAGGACGAAGAGCGAAGGGCCTGGGTGGTTTGCCTTCCGAAAGGGGGTGACAGAACTGCTGCTGCTGCTGGTTGCATTAAAATTAATTTCTGATTATCTATTTGGCTGGGCACACACACACACAGCTTCCTGGCTTCCTGCCCTCCTGCCCTCCAGCTCCTGTTCATCCTCAGTTTTAGTGTTTGGCTTCGAGGAGAACAAATGCACATATGTTGGGTGGGAAAGCACTCGTCCTTGACGCTGGGTGGCAAGTGGCAGCATTCTTCCCTGCGTTTTTCGGTACCCAGTAGTCCTTTGAAGACGAGGGTATATTAGTTTCAGGCAGCACAACTCTTCTAACCATGAGATCAAGGGATCAAGCCCCTCTGTAGGGCTCTTCGTGGGATCATATAATCCACAGATTTACCAAAAAACATTCCCTCGGGGATTGATCTAAAACCAGAGTAGATATATTTTATATTATCCCAAGTACTGGGTATCTTTTCGTCCTCACACACTCAACAAAAATTCGTACTTTGTTTTTTTTTTTGGTTTTAATTTTTTGGTGGATGAACACACGGTTCAGGTTTTCCTAGGATACATTCGGTTATTATTATTACTTTTGCGTGTATCTCTGGCGTACTGCCACCGAGTGATGAATGATCCCCCTCCCCTCCCCCTTCAGGCGGCCCAGAAAGCCACCCCCCCTCGCCAGATCTCGCACCCATATGCCGTGTTTTCTCTCCCAACTAATTCATCGGATGAGTGTTGGATTACGGTTACGAGGATGAGGATGAGTGCAACCCGCTTTAATCATTTTTAAATTAGAGAACTATGCGCCTTTTTGTTGTGCCTTTGAGCCCACCTCCCACCCAGCACCCAGCACCCCTCCCTTGTGCCGTCGTTTGTTTATCTATTTGTTCGAGAGGTTTTCTACCAGCTCCTTTGTCCAGAGGAAATTGCAGCAGATTGGCCAACGTTGCACTTGCGGTTCTCTCTCTCTTCCACATGGCATGATTTCGGGTCTGCCACTGACACTGACACCCCCTGATCCCCTGCCACCCCTGCCACCCCACACACACAAATAAAACAACAAAAAAACAACAAACAAACAAACATTTCGAGTGGAGTTTTCTTTGGGCAAATACAAATACCACCAACCACTACCAGATATCCTCGTATCCTGGCAGAGAGGTAAAAATTGTGGACATTGTCAATATTTGCATGGTGTGTCCCATATGTCGATTTCAGCCAGGCTCGAGAGCCTCTATCCTCGAGCCTCTAGTTGGCTCTGCAATTAGCATTTATGTGTGTTTGCCTTTGGCCCAAATGATAGCTGATGGGGGAGGGGAGGGCGCTGGTGTCGATAGCTGGGCGGGGGGGTTAATAACGGGGTCACATTTTGGGGATTACCCACGAAAGAAAACAAGGAAAGTGAAGCCAAGCAAATCAATGAGGAGACCACAAAAGATATCATGGCTAAGGGGTTCCTTAAGCTCAAGATATAGATATTCTCATCCATCTTAGGGGAGGATCTTCTAGCACATATTCAAGTATCTATTGTTCAAACTTTTTATTCTTAAAAATCTTTCTTGAAATCGTTTCCCTCCTTACCAATTTCTTTATCATATTCCCATTCTAATTGCAGGCCATCATCTATGAGGGTCAGGACAAGAATCCAGAGATGTGTCGGGTCCTGTTGACGCACGAAGTCATGTGCAGGTGAGAGTCCTTTGCCACCTTTATTATCCATCTATAAGACTAAAAGCCACCCCACCTCGGACCCTTGTAATCCACACCTTTTGATTCTGATTTGAGAAATCGAAATCTCAATTCTCGCGGGCATTCGGCCGGAGCTTCTCCCTGGAGCTTTCTCGCCGCGTCTCTATCCCCTCTCCCCTGGAGAGCCACTCAAATTATAGACTTTCTCTGAAATTCTCATTCGGTTTTTGTTTTGTTTTTCGCACATTTTTGGCGTGATTTTCTTTGCGGGTTTTCTTGGGCTTTAATTTTGTTGATTTTTGAGCTTCCGATTCCTCGAGTCCTTTCTTTTTATTTTCATGCTCAAACGCACGCGAACTGAAACGTGTAAATGGTTGACTGCCTCACCCACCCCAACCAACCACCCAACCACCCACTTCTCCCCCTCCCCCCACCCCCGTTGGGGTGGTGTTTCACCCTTCTAGCAGCATCCTCTGACAGCTGAAGGTTGCGTAGGAAATAAAAGCGGCCCAGCAGACAAGAAAAAAGCAGGCGCAAAAAAAACCAGAGAGAAAACTGAGGGAAAGCCAAACAACAACAAAAATTACACAGCTTTAGCCAGTGCAATCCCCCCGCCCCACCTGCCGGCAGCCCCCCCCCGTCCACCGTGCATCCTGCTGGCCGGCCATCTTTTATTATTTCGGATTGGCACCCAGTTTTTATGTTTGCGTAGCATTATCAAAAACAAGGGGACAACGCACACAACTCCAAAGACACACAGACACGGCCCAGGGGTTGCAGACTCTCTCCCTTCCCCATGGAGGCACAGGGACGGAGGGGGGGAAGGGGAGAGATGGCGTCGTCTTCTTTATCGTTTTGGCTTTTCGCCCATTTCAGTCATCCATGTTTATGTTATATGCCCCGGCCAGTGCCAGTGCCAGAGCCAGAGCCCAGGCCAGGTCCAAGCCAAAAATGCCACCCCCCAAAAAAGGATGACCCTCATCCAGCCGCCCCTTAAGGCCAGCCCAGAGGCTGTGCAGTCAAAAATTTACGCAGCCATTGAGCCCGATATAGATATACCCAGACACAGACACAGATATAGATATAAAGATATAGATATGCATGGATATATGTGAATATATATGTACAAATGAATGGAGAGCAATGACAAATGCCTGACCCCAAAAAAAAGACAACAGTCGAGAGAGAGAGAGCGAGAGAGAGAGACACATCTAACACACTTTCGAAAGCTGCGGGATTCGTAGGAAGAAGTGGGTTAAAGTGCATTAAAATATGGAGGATATGGGCTGGATATATCCTTAAAAAATAGAAGCGTTTAAATATATTTCGTTTGAGTATGAATCGGCCTTCTTTTACTCTTTTATCTCTTTATTCTACTTCTAAATATCTTATAAATTCCCTGCATATCCCCTGAATATGAAATTAAAGTGAAATTAAAGCTGTTTTTATTGTCATATAAACTCATTTGTGATTTTTCTGCTTCCACAGCCGCTGCTGTGATAAGAAGAGCTGTGGCAACCGCAACGAGACGCCATCGGACCCCGTCATTATTGATCGGTAAGTAGCCATAGTTCATGTAGCCATCCTGCCATCCAGGACCGGCTCCGGCTCCGGCTCTGGCTCCAGCTCCTCTGCCACACAAAAGATGACATTTTAAGCTGCTTTTCATCATCGTCGCTGGCTCTTTTTATTTTTGTCAGCCCTGTTTTGTGAGAGCCCCAGCCAGAGCTCTGTGCATGCGTATCGTTGATTTATTGGCATTATTATCAACTGCAATATAAAACATGATGCGGCAGACATGCAAAGGGAGAGAGAAAGGGGAAGGGGTATGGCGGGAGGCAGGAGCTGGAGTTTTCCCTGGAATGGAAATGTGGCTGCAGCAGCCCAGAGTCAAAGGAGCCCAGAGACCCAAACAAACAAAAATTCATCAAAATGTGAAGAGCAAATTCTATTTTCATAAATTTGTAAATTGAGACGAGTTCGCGGCAATCCGACACCCCCCTTTCGAGGCACTTCCCTGCCGATGGAACGCCATGCCACCCAAGTGCCACCCAACCCTCAAGTGGCTGTCGCGTGTCAGGCGAATTATGTTAATTGCATGCACATCCTTGCGGCAGCCACGCCTCCTGCCTGGGAGTGCGTCGCCTCTAATTGGCTTCGGAAATATTGTTATTGGAAAGGAAATTAGGAAAAACCAAAATGTACAACAAATTGTTATGGGAACTTGTTATTAAACAGAAGGAGGGGCCACAGAAGGAAGGGCTATGGATCTATAGCTTTTCTTACGAATAAAATAGTTCAAATAGGTATCTGCATTCATTCACATCGTATCTTTCCAGCCCGGTAATTAAACGTGCTCCTAAAACGAACCCCATTGATTGCGAGTGGAATCATCTTGCCCCTTCAGGGGGCATCGCAGCCCCCTTTGCCCTAGCCGCCTCACCTCATTGAGTTGTTAAGCAATTTTCCAGCGGGTCCCCAGGCCCCATTAAAGTGTACCACACCTTATGCAGATGATAATCATCTCGATCGATCTCCCTAACCATCGGTTCGTGTGATTCCATGTAAAGAGGACGCGACGGGCATCCTTGGTGGTCTGTCCTCCGCCGATGGGTGTCCAAAAGTATTTGCCTAAAGGGCACATTTGAGCACCCCCCTACACCTCCCCCCCTCCCCAGTTGGCAGATCTTGAGGACTGCCCAGAGAGGTGTTCTCCGAACCGAGACGAGATGCCAGCTCGAGTTGGGCACGAGAGTCTGCTTAATGATTCTATTATTAATGTGGCTAGCAAAAGTGTCTAGGACCGGCTACTGGTTGGCCGGCAATCAGGCCATAATTGGTGTCATAATTAAATTTAATTGATTGCCTCCCCGGACCCTGCCTCCCTTCCCCTCCCTCTCGAGTACGAGTATCAGTTTGCAAATTAGGAAATGGCCAGCCCAAGTGGAAGCTGCAGAAAAACCAAACCGAACTCGAGCCAACAAAAACTCTTGCTTCACAGACACCGAGATACTTGGATACTGAGATACTGAGATACATAGATACGAGTAGAAGTGATCTCGGCGAGATCAGAGATCGCTTATGATCTTGTTAAAATTGCTTTGCGTGGCAACGTGTGCTCCAGAATGGAGCCAAATGCCAATGTCATCCGTTGGAATAACAGTTACACTCACAACTGAGCCACCGCTGGGCCCACTAGATCGGGTTGGATAGGACCGGACCGGACCGCACCGGACCGGGTCGGGTCTCTCCTCCACGTGCCCAGGTGCGACACTTTGCGCTTGATATTTACGATTATTAATTCATTTCTTCTCTATTTATTTGGCTTGTTAGCCGGCCTGAAGAGGCACATCAAATTGGTTAATCCCGCCAAGAGATGGCACCGTGAGGCTATAAGAAGAGAGAAAGGGCGATAGTGATTGGATTAGTCTTGGTATATATCTGATGAATCTTTAATGGGTGTTATAGATCTCGTCCATGTAATATACCTTGTTCCCATTCTTTCGTATATGATCTAAACCATCTCTTCTATAGAGTTTGCTCCATATTCATTGCCCTTTCGTGTCTTTGAAAGGCAGAATCCACATGTAGGTGGCAGATCTCTTCCCACAAACCACGTACCGTGTCACGCTGCCATCTCTAGTACTCTCTCGCTGCACATGTCGCATTTGTCAGGTCGGGCTGTAACTTTTGTCGGCATTCCACAAGCCGGAGAGGAGGCTGAAACTGTGGCTGTGCCACAGGCTGCAGCAGGACACAGGCGCATATCAATCACTAGCTGAAAACACTCCCAGCTCCAATCAGCTTAAAAGGCGGCATGGATCAGTCAAACCAGCCATGAACCACCGCCGAGCCCCCCTCAATCGCCAAGCACCACTCACCACTCGCCGCTCCACTCCCCCACTCCCCATTGAGCGCCAGAGGCCCGCTCATTGATATGCCAGTAGATCATGCCGCCAGCAGAAAGACAAAGACTCCCGGATAATCTATGTGTTCGCAACTAAATTTTGCAAGGCCCCACAGGAGAGGAGTGGCAGAGGAGCAGCCGGAGTCGAAGCAGCAGAAGGGAGCTGCAGCAGAGCAGCAGCCTTAAAGCGCTAACTCTGCCGGAGGTCCAGCACATTTTGCCACTCAAGCAAGCGTTCACCTCGCACTGTCTCTATGTCTCTCTGTCCCGCTCCCGCTCCCGCTCGCTCTCCTGGTCTTCCCTCTTTGGGAAACTTTGTCAGCAGCGCGCAACAATTGGAACTGATTGAAAATTCCGCAACGGGGTAGCCGCCAGCGGGGAGAGCAGGGGCTTGCTGGGGACATGCTTGCATTTCAAAGTGGTTGACGAAAGCCAAAAACTGATACGATATGACAAGAGCAGCAACAGAAGCAGCAGCAGAAGAAGGAGGAGGAGACGGGGAGGGCAGTCGCTGCTATCCAGTAGCAGTCGGACAACAGCACCGCAATTCCAACTTGGACTCGCTCTCTATGGCTGTCCCGCTCGCGCAAGCTCTCTTCCTGCTTCGTAACCGACGGCTGACTGACGTTCGAACGTGTGCCGTGAGAGTAGGGAGCAACTGAGACTGCAACTGCGACAGCGACTGCTACTGCGACTTCACTGCTCTGCTCTGTTCTCCTGAGCTCTGCTCTGCTCTGCTTGGAGATCTGCGCACATGTTTTATTGATGAATCTCTGTTATTCATGCAAGCGATCTGCGGATGGTGCAGGAGAAGGAGGTGGATGCTTTGGAGATGCCGAAATTGTGCACACAATGACCAGCGGCACAGTGGGCCAAATAAGTATTACAATTTTGTGACATTTTACATTTTTGTATGAGCTACAACTTATATTCCGTATGTAAGATATTTTCCTAGTGAAATTTTCGGTTATTATGTTTCATGTACTTGATTTCCTCCCACCCGTCCCACTGTGCAATAGATCGCCGTGGATTTGCAATTACCGAGGGCAGGTGAGGAGGAGGCTTGCTTTGTTTGCCGCTTTGTCTCGGTTGAGCTCTCTCCCTCTTTCGCTCTTCCGCACTTGCTCTCTTTCTGCTACCTCTTTTATTTATGATTTGCGAGGACGCACTCGCTCCCGAGCATTGTCTTCGCGTTTCGTTTTTGTTGTTGCTATCCCTATGTTGGTATGCACTTCGTGTGTGTTCCATAATTAAGTGAATTTAAAGCTCACTTCGGCGGTGGTCGGCAGCGATCTCGTACTTGGTCGTTGCTCTTGTTCTGCTTGTTGGCGAGTTATTCGTGTTGTTGGTTCTGCGACATGTTCCACGTTTTTGTCACACATTTTTGACGGGACGCAGACCGTGTGTTTCCCTCTCTGTTCTGTTCTGTGTTCGATTTGCTGGAAATCATTTTTTGTTTCGCTTTTTTTGGGTTTCGCCTCACCATCTGGCGTATGCGTAATGACGTGAATGATATTGACAGGCATGCAATTGGCCTTGTTATCGGCGAGGGCCATTAAAATTGTTATCGCGTGACCGACGCCCGCGTTCGACTTTTTAATTTGAGTAAATTGTGTTCTCCCCACCCGCTATCGCACTCATCGCAATGAAAGAACAGCAACAGCCACTCAAACACCCATCTGCAGGGCCAAGCAAACTGTAACAGTACAAAAAGTCGAGCTTTTGATACTCTACGAGACAGATTGTGCAGAAGATCAAATCTTATAGGGCTTTCCACATTTATTCCTACAAACATACGTTACATATGTATGTATGTATGTGTTGTTCAAATCGCAATACTCTCTGAAAGCGTATCAAAAACACAAAGAGCGAAAGGGAGACTGGCAAAAAGCTCTCAAGCGAACAATCGAAAATTTGCCACTCTTGCATTTATCTACGTCATTGGCATTTTCTTCGCTTTATTTCAATTTTCTATATTGTCCGCCATCGTCCACCAAATAAACTAAGTGCCAACTCCCCACCCGCCCACAACACGGCACACACCCACTCCCCCTGCCACCGCCCGCTGTACAACGAATAGAATTGACATTTTGTGGTGTCCAATATGCAAAAAACTCGCAGCGAAATTTTGTTAACACTGGAGGGCAAACAAAACGTGTCCACCAAAGCATGCCCTCCTCTATGTACACACAGTACATGTATCCTGCCATTTAATATAGGAATAAATATATATTTAATAGCAGTAAATGGTATTTTCTTATGGATATCCTTTGGCTAATCACAGCCATGTCCTGGTCCAATATTCCGGAACACGTCTGTGCCGGGCCTGGGCTGCGTGAGGCGAACAAATGTTTTGGCCCATGCCGTTCATTGCATGCCTTGATAATCGGGCAATCGCGCTAAAAATGATGACAAAACTGCTGCTAGTTGTTGGCTACAGTTTTTAATTTTCTAAATGCATTCCACCTGGCCAGGGGGAAGGGTGGCGATCCAGAGTGGCTACAGAGTGGAGTCAGCCCCGTTTTGGCCTGGATGAGCGACGGGTGTGAGGTGAGGCACCGCCAGAGGACGTTTTGTCCTGCTCAAATATTCAAAACGACGCAAAAAAAGGAGCAAACGAAGGAAGGGGCAGCATTTTGACGGCATTTGC